CCACCACAGTATTTGCCACTGCTTGAGGAGTGTTGATGGGCTGGGAGCCCCTGGTGTTACAGAACAGGTATTTTGGTGTTCTGTGTCCTGAGGAAATCCTGAGAGCTTGACTTGGGATTTACCAAACTGTGGAAGTGCAAATGCTTTCCCTGTTGTGTAGCAAACACAAGTGCTCCTCTCTTCCTGCTGGGCAGGGGCAGGTCCCCTGTGCCTCTTCCACCACAGGAGGGCCACATTTAGCTCTACTGGTGAATAATTTTGTGATGAGCTTCCACTTGTGCCTAAAAGTCAGCTCTGCTAAGTGGGGGTTAAACTTGAAAGAATAGTCTCTTTCTTACCACTTTGACTGTAATAAGGAATTTTTCTCTTTGCTGTTATTAGCCTGAAAATATACAGGAGGCTAAGAGGTAGGAATGAAGGAAAGGTAACTAATGGGTTAGATATCTTTGTATACACTGTTATTTCAGAGTTAAAGTGGCTGGTTACCAAGTTTGGTAATAAACTGGCTTTATCTCTTCTATTCTGAAATACTGGTGTCTCTACACCAGCTTGCCAGACTAAAACAGATTTGAGAACTGTGAAACCAAAGGGTTTTGTGACAAGAAATGGAAAATATGGGGTGACCGTCCCCTGAGAGGAGCCATTGCTGTGTGTGGAGGGAGGATTGGATGCCTGCCCTGGCAAATAGATACATATTTGTTTTTGTTTTAATTTCCTTCTCTTTGACTTGTGTCTCTTCAGAACTAATCTGTTGGTGTGTGGAGTTTAACCCTGTGTCCCTGTTCCCAGGTGAACGTGATCCACACGGCCAGCCCAGTGGAACACGCCAACCACATCGCCGCCCAGCCGCAGTTCGTCCACCCCGTGCATCACTCCTTTGTGGATCTCTCTGGCCACAACTTGGCCAACCCTCATCCCTTTTCAGGTCAGGATTCTCTCAAGTTGAGCTGGTTGTATTCTGGTGTTAAAATAAACTCTGGGTTTTCCCCAGAGTTTAAAGCAGTGTATTGGACTGATAATCCAGGCAGCTCCTCGGGCCTGTTCTGCTCTTGCCCAGTCAGGGAGGAGTGGATTCCTGGAGATCCAGGGTTCCTTTCCTGCCAGCAGAAGAGCTTTCTGTTGGTGTGTGTGTTGGAAAATGGGAGGGACTTGATAAAGGCCCTTGATAAAGGGCTGTGAGGAACTAGGACAGTATTTCTGAATGGCACGAGGAAAGAACTGCAATGATATTCCCTTGATGACTCATGGGATCTGCCCTTTCTGTTTTAATTACATTAATTTGGCAAGAGTGTAGGATGTGAGAGGAAGAAAAATAGGCAATTTAGAGAGGAGTCTGAGCAGTGGAATCTGCTTTCCATGTGTTTTCAGTCCTTCAGATTGATGTAATTATATTTAAGGGACCAAGGTTAGCCCAAGTGCCTCTGTAGGTACGTGAGGATTTGTGCAGTCCTGGTGATGGGAAGGGAGCTGCTTGTTGGCACTGTGGGAGAGTTGCCACTGCCATGTAAGGAACCCCTTGTCTCTTCTCCTTGCAGTTGTTCCCAGCACAGCCACTGTGGTGATTGTTGTCTGTGTGAGTTTCCTGGTGTTCATGATCATCCTGGGAGTGTTCAGAATCCGAGCTGCACATCAGAGAACGATGCGTGACCAGGACACCGGGAAGGAAAATGAGATGGATTGGGATGACTCTGCTTTGACCATCACTGTGAACCCCATGGAGGTAAAACCCTGTGGGGCTGGGGCTCAGCACTGAACCAAAAATGCCCTTTTCCAGCTGGAAGGGGTGGGATTGTCCATGGGCAGAGGAGCAGAGCAGAACCAACCCCTGAGCACAGAGCAGAGACTGGGAATTTTGGATGAGTGTGCCAAATGCCAGGAGCAGTTATGTTTGGGATCCTGCAGGAGCTTCATGATGCAGGATGGAATTGTGCAGGCCAGTGTCCAGCACGTGCTGCCCTAACCAACCTGTTTTGGTCCAAACTGGCAGGAATTTATCACCAAAACACCTGTGTTTATAATCCTTCTTAATGTGTCCTACTAAAGATCCTTCTCCAGCAGAATCTGCAGGACTGGATCACCCCTGAGCATCAGTGTGTGTGGAGGGCCAGGGTTGACAGCAGTGTCTCACAGTGCTCCTGCCTTTGTCTTCTCTGGTTGCCTAATTCCTGCTGAGCTTTTAAAACCAGCAAGGAGTCTGCAACAGCCCTTTGCCAATACAGTGAATAAAGAATAAGAATGAGAAGAATTTTGGCCAGTGGGGTAATGACAAGTTAACTTTTCTTTTAACAGACTTATGAGGACCAACACAGCAGTGAAGAGGAAGAGGAGGAGGAGGAAGAAGAAAGTGAAGATGGAGAAGAAGATGACATCACCAGTGCAGAGTCTGAAAGCAGTGAGGAGGAGGAGGGAGAGCAGGAGGAGGACCAACAGAATGTTAACAGACAGCAACAGCTGGAATGGGATGACTCCACCCTCAGCTATTGATTCCCGCTGTTCCCTTTGTCTTTCTGCTCCCGCTCCAGAGGACTCCACTGTCACACACTCCATTGGTACCGAGGATTCATGGTGTTCCAAACAACACAAATCCATTCTGGCCAGTAGATTGACCCCCCCACCTGCCGTGTTTGTGTTCTGTCAGCCCCTGATGTTTAGGGTTGTAGTTTAGCACCTCTTCCTTCAGCCATCCCTCAGTGACTGGATTATTTTTTTTTACGCTCTGTGAGGAACCACCTTGCACTTTCTTTTTTTTTCTTCTTATGTCATCTCAGCTAAGTGACTCTACAGCTCTGTAGCCATTGCACATGAATTTCTGAACTGTCTTTTTTTGCTCAGTGAAACAAAACTTGGCTTTGTTCCTTTTTTTTCCTCTTTCTAAAAAGATGCAAAGGTTGCTTGCTGACAAAGGGTAAAGCTGCTCATTTCAGCCTGTTGATTTCTTTTAATTTTCTCCTCCCCCTCCCCCCAAATTAGTGCATGTGTAAAGTGGCAGAATGAGGTTAATATGTAGAAGATTAACAAGACTTTTTAATATTTTGTAAATATCTTGGAATTATGTAATTACGTCATTTGTGGTAGTGAAAAACAGGGAATTGGGGTTTCAAACATGCTAAAGTGAAAAATCATGCAGCATGAACTATTACAAGTCTCATCCTACTGCAGCAGGAGCACGGGCACAGTTCTTAGTGTAGATGTTCAGTAACTCTGTCCTTGGCCTTGACTCGATGTGCGCTCATGCCCCGCTCTCCTCCAATTCCTTCCTTTTCTTTAACCCCCTTTATTTTGCAGAGGGATCATAAACCTGGGAGAAATTGTAAAGGCTTTAGGAGCCTCTGCAGAGGTTCAGCTGCCCCCTGTGCAATACAGTTGTTGGGGTTTCATTTTTATTTTTTTTTTTTTTTAATTTTTCTTTTTCCCTCTCCAACTAAGCCTCGGCATAAGGGCTTTTAAGTTATTGGGGGGAAAAAAAAAAAAACCACTACATGGATGGTGGGCAGGATCCATGGGGGCTGTGGGGTGTTGCCACAGCTCCTGGTAATGACAGGGAGGCTGCCTGTTAGTGCAGTGCTGGGCTGTTCGTGCTGACAGGGTGGGTGTTTGTAAGTGGTGGATTGTGACGAAGCTGGAAAGCCTGAGCCCTGGGTACCTGTGCACCTTGGCTCCCAGTCTACATAAATAGGCATCTGGGGGGTTTTTTTTTGGCTGTTCATTTCTTTCTGATTTGGCAGTGGGAGGGTTTGGGGTGTAGCTGATCCCACTGAGCACTCCTGCTCCTCCCCTGCAGCCCCTTGTACAGTAACTCGGACTGTCGGTGTTTTAAGCCTTTGTTTACACTTAGGAATTGTGTTTTCCTGCTGGTGAAAAACCGTAGCGTAAATCACCCAACCAGAAAACCTTGGGAATCACGTTGCTGTTACTCCAAGTGGAGCTGATTGGGATTGTTCCCCATCCCGGTTCTGACTTGGGGACTGCAAAGGACAAAAGCTGGAAGGTACGAAGGTGCTGCTGCCCCGGCGTGGGGAGCGCTGGTTTTTCTGTCAGGCAGGGCTTGGTGAACTTGATTTGGTCTTATGCAGAGTCTGGAATAATGAATTTCTGCTTGATTTCTATGGAGGTGGATTAAAGAGGAACTTGTTTTGCTTGTAACAGGAGCCTGGGACTGCATTCCCTCCTCAGCAAGGTAAGCCGAGCCCCGGTGGGTGCAGAGCCCACCCGTGTCACCCGCAGCAGGGACAGGGGCACTGGGGGAGCTGCCAGAGGAGCCAAAGGGTGGGGCACAAAGGGTCCTGATGAACAGAAAGAGAGAAAAGGGTTGGTCCAGGTGTTTGCACAGTTTGCTTCTCAGAGCAGACCTGTTCTGCTCTCACCTCGCGGTGTGACAGGACCTGTGGTGGGTTTGATCGGGGGGAACCTTGACTGTGGAGTGCCTTTACAACGGGAGATGGACCTGGAAGCAGGGAGGAGAACCCACACCAGAGCTTACCGTTCCTTTGGGGTTTTCTTTTGGGGTTTGGTTTTTTGGTTTTTTTGGTTTTGTTTTTTTTTTAATGTAAAATTTTAGATTTCTAAAAGGGGAAAATGGTTTTGACTACTTATGTGGTAATTAACTGCTAGTTTTAAGTAAACTGGGAAACTTTTAACTTATGTCTGACAGTTGTCCTGTGTTAATGTGTAGAAGACTTATCCTTCCATATACTGTTGCTGTAGCTGCTGTATTTTAGACCAAAACTGATCATGGCTAAATGGTAATCCTGAGGGGTTGTGACGCAGTTTGTAGCCACTGTGGGTTATAACTTTTCAGATGTGTATATTGGGAACAGGTCAGTTTGGAAAGTCTATAAGCTACAATAAATTTCTGGTTCTAAAGGTCGTTTGCATTTATTTCTTCCCGAGTGGAACAAAGTAGAAATCAAAAGTTACATGACCTGAGTGTTAATTTGCCTCTGCTGGGGGAGGAGGAGGAGTCTTTGTTTTTGTTGATCTTAAACTCAGAAAGATCTGTGGACAATTGATCAATATTTTTTATTTTTTTACTTACAAAACATGTACCTAAAGCAACTGAAAAGTTAAACATGTAAACATTCTCTTCTCGCAGAACCACAGTTTGGCTTAAAAAAATACTTCTTTTTTTTCCAAGGCAACAGAATAAGCACAATCAGTTTGTACAGGGTGAGTTTAAAAAACAAAAATGACAGAAACACCTCTAAATAAATAGAAATAGGTCTATCATTCTATTTATAAAATGAGAAGCCACTTATTTATGGTGAAATGGAGTATTTTTTGAAAGTGATTGAAGTTTGAATCTTCAGTACAATTCACTGGCTGAGAACCATCAGGTGAGCTGCTGCTTTGTGGATTTGGAGTCAAAGGCTCTCTTTGCTGGACCCTCAGAGCTTCAACAAAGATGCTCTTCCAGGAGTGCCCAAGGAGGAAGGTCCCTGGGATGACTCACTGGGTTTTTAGCTCTTGAAGGTAAGTCAAGTTTGCAGATTGAGGAACCTCTGGAATAACTGGGCTGGGCAGAGAAACCCTCGGGAATTGCTCAGTTCCTGCAGCTGACGCTGAGACACCTCTGTTTTATTGCACTTCTCACACTGAAGGACAGGACAGGAGCCACTGCTGGAAAACTCTGGGATGAGGGCCTAAGGTTGCTGCTGGGAGCCTGGAATGCAGGTACCTCAGAGCAGGGAATTGCTATTCCAGGTACACGACTGTAGTGTCTTCCCTTCCCCAGGAACCAACAAACCTGACCAGGGGTGGGTTCAGAGCATCTCACCCTGCCTGGGGCCTGGGATTTTTTTTTATTTTTTTGTCCACTTTTTGCTCTGTAAATTAGTTTAATAAAGAAAGAAACAGCAATGTTTATTCTCTGAAGTGGAGCAGAGGCACAGGATTTGTTCTCGCTGCCTGATCAGTCTGCAAAGAGATCTGAATTTCCTTCTGGTACCAAAACAACTGTCAGAGCTGGAGTGCTGCTTCAGTCACACCCTGGATCATTGGAAAGGTGTTGGGAAAGGGTTCTATAAAATTAAAATTGGGTGCTTTCTATGCCAGAACTGCTGCTTCTACCAACAGGTGCTCGAGAGGAGCTTGGTTTGTGTGAATGGCTACAAACCAGAGCAGACCCCACAGCTCAACATCTTCTATGGAAAGAAACAGTAAGTACTTTAAACCACAATTTAGATTAGAAACTGTAACACTGCCAGTGCCTGTTTGGATATAAAGGTAGAGAAGGGTTTATTCCAGGTGTTTTATATTCCCTTCACTGACCAAACCTGGCATTACTATTTATTTCTACTTACAGAAGAAGTTACTGTTTTATAAAGCAGTGTTAACTTTGTTCTCCACCAGCTGACAGATTTGACTTAAACAGCCATTCTAGGGCAGCATTTTTTTTAATTTTAAAGTACTGATGTATCTGATTTTAAAGTATTAAACAGAGCTTAAAGTCAGGAAGGAGTTGCACCCATGTGCTGGGTGCAAAAATCAAATCAAATTTAGATTATGAAGGGAGGATTTATTGAACAGGCCAGGTCAGTCTCCCAAACTTGCTGCTTCTGTGGGAATTTTAAAGCAGATTTGAAGCTAAATTTATGAGTGTAGTCCATCATTTGACAACACCTGTGCCTGTTGTTACCTGAGAACCAGGATCTGCAATGCCTCTTTACAGGGTGTAAAAGGAAATTGTTGAACCTAATTAAAGGCAAATAAATGAATACAGGATTCAGCTTTGGGGGTGTCTGGAGAATTAGACTCTGCTGTTCCTGAAGAGGCAGGAATGGTGGTACCTCCACAGGAACCTGATGTGTGGAGAAGGTGGGGAAGTGGAAGGAAGGAGCCAAGGAACTGTCATGGGAAGCAGGTCCTGCCCACTCTCCTGTCCCCAGCAGTGGCTCCTGCTCCCTGTCCTTGGGCACCACCAGCACCCAGAGCTGCTCCTGGTGGGGCTGTGACCTGGAGCCAGAGCTATGACACAAACAGAACTGTGGGAGTGATCCCAGCACCCTGTGGGAGGGAAGGAGACGGAGGAGGCCGTGGGGAGGGGAGGAGGCTGGAGGGGACACCGTGTCCCACTTCAGGCACTGGCACAGCTGAACTCCCTCAGCCCCTCAGACCTTACCAGCAGCTCTCAGAGCAGGGCAGGGTCTGTACCCTGGCTGGGAGAGGGGAAAAGAACAGGGAGTACCTTTGTAAGAAGATGGGAGTTGAGATGCAACCTTCTGTAAGTGTTTCAGTGTTGAACCCACTCCTGTGGCACTCCCTGCCCAGGAGGGCAGTCTGACCCAGCAGCTTGGGCACAGAACGGTGCCATCTGTGCCAGCTGCCTCTGGAGCTGAGTGTTGGATCCCAGGGGCTGTGGAGGGGTGGGGGCACTGCCCTGCACACACAGGGTACAGGGAGACCAGGTGGCAAACCAGCTCTGATGTCCCCAGCGGGAGGCATTTGGAGCAACCAACATTCCATGCCAATTTGGAAAATTCAATCTTCCTGTTTTCAGGACCAAAATAGATACAGGAATTGCTTAAGGTTCAACTAAAGCCTGACTTGGGAAAGCCAAGAAACTACCTGGTCCAGTGGCCACTGAACCTCCTGTTGTGGCATCAGTTTTGTCCAGCAACAGGTGAGTCCCAGCTCGGTTTGAGAACACTTGGGCCTCTGGAGCAGACAGAAAGCAGGATGACAGTGTGGATCACAATGCAGAATAGAACTGTTTGTCCAAGACAGCTCCAGTGCTCTTTAAACGGACCCCCCACCTTGGTGGACACTGACACAGGGCAGTGCTGCAGTTAATGCCTCTGAGCTGGAATGGTGGTGACCTGCAAGATGGGTTACAGGGATGGGGGTGGGGGAGGAAGTCTCTGTTCAGCTAAATTCTCAAGAAAATATAAATACAGACATTAGCACACAGGAAGGATGTTACAACTGCCTCAACTCTTCCATGAGAAGATGTATTTGAAGCTTAATGAGTTCTTAAGGGTACAGCACCTCTACCTACCTTTCACTGTACGCAGTCATTTTATTGCCTCACGTCTCTCCCTCGTCCCCCAAAGCTCTGCAGCAGCCACGGGGGGGTGGCTGAGGACAGGCCAACAGTTTTTCAGTCGAGGAGCACTCTCTGATCTCTGGGAATGCAGGTGGGGGAATATTCCACCAGTCTTTCCTTCCCAGCCCGTCTGACATGCTGGGCCCAGTGCAGGTGGTCAGTCCCCGGCTGTGCAGGTGCTGCTGCTCTACTGCCTGTTGTCTTTGGATACGTTGTGTGCCAGCCAGTTCACTTTGGTTTTCCAGCTCTCTCGCAGGGCTTCATTAAACTTGAGCCTGAAGTGCTTCAGTGCCTCCTCATCGGTTTTCCCAAGAGCCAGGGAGTCCTGGAGGTGAGAGGAACAAATCAGTGCAGCCTGGCTGAAAGCACAGCCGAGCAATTAGCAGCTCAACTGGTGAGATGTTTACTCATTAAGGATTACCCCACTGGAAGGAGCACAGAGCAGGAAAGGAACAGCCATTAATGTTTTTTAGTGGTGACTGTGGCTGCATGAGGTTTTTCCCTGATAAATCCTTCCATTCCACTCTTCTGCTGGTGTAGGGTGGTACCAAGGTGCTGTCTTGCAGCTGGCCAGGGATGGGTGGTTATCACTTCAGAGGCAAACTGGGACCAGGAAATGACACACAACCACACAGGCCTTTGTCTCCCTGCCTGCAAACTGGGTCTACAAGGTACCTGCTGCCCTCAGGATGAAGAACCTCAAGTGATTTCCTGACCATCTGTACCCGGCCTTTCTGATATCCTGCCCCTCCTCCTCCTTTCTGCTTCCAAACACCCTTCCCGGTGACTCCTCCTCCTCCCTGAGCCACAGGATCAGGTGTTCAGCCTTCCCCATGCCTGGGCTCTGCCTGTCTCACCTTTAGGTACTGGATGTCTTTGGAGCAGCTGAGCTCTGGCAGACCAGCAGCTTTCATCAGTGCAAAGAGGTGCAGGAAGAGGAGCCCGTGGCGCCGCAGGATCATGTAGGCTCTCTCACAGTAACCCCTGAACCTGAAAGAGTGAGGGCACAGCAGTAACACCTCAAACTCTGCCAGTTTATAAAGCAAAGCTGCACATCAGTCTGAACCCTGCTGTCTCCATTGATGATACCAAGCTCTGTCACCTCCTCCAACAGGTAGATAATTTATTTACTTTCACGTTTGCAGGCTACATATTGCTGGAAATAAATCCTAATAATGCAGAGAGTAAAAAGCTGAAGTCAGTTTCTCACTCCCACCACTCACCTTTCAAACTTCTCATTGTTGTTAGTTTTTCCTTGCTGGATGACGTGCACAAAGTCGTAGGTTAAGATGAAAGGAACTCGTTCTCTGTTAATACCAAATTTAGTCTTGAAGTTCCCCAAAAAGTGACCAAAATCGATATGGAACAGCTGAAAATAAAGAAGAAAAAAAATGGTTTTAGAACAGTATCTCTTTTAGCTGATCTGGGATGTGTCTGTCCCCTGTCCCAGCCCCCAGCAGTGCCTGTACCTGCCCTGTCTCCCGGATCATGATGTTGTCGCTGTGCCGGTCCCCGATCCCCAGCACGTAGGTGGCCACGCAGTACCCGGCACAGGACAGGGTGAACTCCTCGATGGCTTGGTCCAAAGCATCCCTACAGAGGGCAATAAGAGAGAGAGAAATCATTTCATTTTGGACTCCAGTACTTCACCACTGCAAAGCTGCTTTCAGAGTTTCCCCCCTGCAAATCACTGAAAGGAAGGGAGTCATATCTGGATTCCCACAGTGTTCTCCAGAGGCAGGACCCCCACCCCTGCTGGACAGAAATGAGCTGCAATAACTACCTGTAATTAAAGGGGTCTGAACAAGGTTATAGCCACAATCTCAACTAAATTAACTCATTTCTCCATCTCCGTGGATCCCAAAGACAAAGAGGGCTCCTCTTGGTGGCCCTGCTGCACCAGAACAGCGTGGATGTGTTGCTGCTGTTTCTCTACCTGGTAAGCCCCCCATGTCACACAGCTCTTGTGCCCCTTTCCTGTTCACCCCCCAGTTCTCCCTTGCCCCTTCTGCAGCTGCCACCACGCTGTGTGTGTCTGGAGAAAGTAACAGGCCCCAAGGGGAATATCAAGGTTTGGCTCCAGCAGGGGGGCAGTGCTTCTTTAGGCTACCAAAGGTCACAACGAGCCTGCCAGCAGTGACCCAGCTGCCCCATTTCTGCTCACAACCCACACAGACCCACACGATGCCTTCGGGTGTGCCGGGCAGGGAAGCAGCCACAGACACTGTGGGACAGCTTGGAAAGGAGCATAAATGAGGGGAGATGAGGAAAGGGGAGCCCACTCACCCCGGGTTCTTGGACTTCAGCCAGTTCAGCAGCGCGTCCTTGTTGAAAGCTGCCGTGGCCACCATGTTGCTCTTGTTCAGCTGGATGTTGGCGATGGTGTCCGAGTGCATGACCACCTCAATCAGCCCAGTCTTGTCTCCTGTGGAGAGGCAGCCATAAGGGGTCATCCTGCAGAGATGAAAGAAACCCTTCCACTGAAATCCTGCCCAGAACTGGGTGGTGTTGACTTTTAAAGCTTTCCCTTGGCTGCCACGTCTCCTCCATCTCTCTCCTCTGCAGTTCTGTTGCCCAGTACCACAGGACCTGCCCAGCTGCTCACACAACACCAGACAGACCTGCTGGGGGCAAAATGAGCTTGCAGAGAAAAACAGCCCCACCAGCCAGGAGTTATCACTGCAGTAGGACAGCTGTGTGCACACTACTCACCTCAGGTCCAGGCCCTCCTGCTTCCACAGGATGTCCATCAGCTGGATCATCTGCAGGGTCAGCATGTCCTGACGCAGATCTGTGCAGCATTACAAGGGAAAAAGGAGCATCAGCACCTCCCAGTGTCCCCCTCCAGTGCTCCTGTAAGTGGCCCTCGTTCTGCCCCTGCAGCAGAGCTGCTGGAGGGGCCTTTGCCACGTCTGTCACTTGCTGGCCCAGCTCAGAAAGAACATCAGCACAGAGCAGTGTTTGCTGGTGCAGGAACAGCGTGAAACCACCCCACCAGACACCTCAACTCCCATGATTTTACTAAGGGAGGTACAGGCTACTTCACTTTGCCCAAGCTCTTCCCATGGCAGTCACTGTGGCCCTGCAGGAATATCTGCCTGGACACAGCAGGGAGCAGCAGCCACCCCAGCCCTGCAGAGCTCGCACTGCTGGAGCTCCTTCACACCTCACACCAGGCGTGGGTTTATTGCTCAGGGGGATCCAGCTACCACTGCCCAAAATCTACAGGAAAGAGGGCTGCAGGTGAAAGATAGAGGGGAGCTTGTTATCTCTCCAGATTACTGCCAAAAACCTCAAAACATTGAAGGTTCTCATTTCCACAATTGTCCATATTTGCACCCCATCACCACAGTAAATACTCGAGATTAAGGACATGTTTTCAGAGCCATAATAAAGACTTACCATCTCCATTTTTAAAAATAATGCCCACTCCACCTCCACCTGTCTCTTCATTGTTAAACACAATCCACAAGGGTTTCATTTTGGAGTCCATGAAGGTGCACTGATCCACACTGGAGGAAATAAAGACATTGCCATCAGAGTTTCCATCTGTTAAAAAAGCAGCCATCTGAGCTGCCAGCTCAACAGCACCCACAGACACTGGTGGGGTAAGGACTTCCATGAGGAAAAGACCTTGGGATAATCTAAAACCTGGCTGCACTGCCAAAGAAAGCACAGATGAAGAGGTGCAGTTCTCTTCCTTACCAAACTTCGGCGAGGATGATGTTGGGGTTCAGGGGGGACTGGAGGTGGGAAAGTGCTTCCCGGTACGTTTCCTGCTTCATGCACACATGCATCATCTCCTTGGTTTGAGGCTTGGTGGCCTTCTGAGAACTCACTTTGACAAAGTCATTCAGAGCTTTCATCTTGTTGAGTGCTTCTCCCTGAAAAAAAAAAAAAAAAGGAGAGGTGGAACAGGGTTAATGAACAGGAAATTCCTGGAGGAAGTTTAAAAAAAAAACATTAAAATATCCTGTGAAATGGAAACCTTGGTTGCATCTCTTACTTTCTCTTCAACTTGTAGCAATTTCACACATTGCAACAATACAAACAGTCCTTTCTGCTTGAGGGAGATCCATAATAAACTGTGGATACTCTGCTGAGCACAAATGCACTGGAAGGCAATGACTGCTCTGAATCAGCCAGTTGTGACCAGCTCCCACTAAGTGGTAACTCAGCCACTTTATGTAATAACAGCACTGCTCGTGGAGATTTCAAACCATTCTGGACACACAGTGTGATTGGGGGGGGTGTGGGTGAGTAAGAGATGAGGGAACTCACACGTGATGGGGATCTCCAGGCTCCCAACAGGATATGCCAGAACCAACACAGCAGTTCTGAGGTTTTTCTGTGTTGCTGATAACATTAAGTTGGAAAAGCCTAGAGCTGAGAAGCAGCTCCAAGCAAGAGGGAAGCCAACCTTATGGCTAAAAGCAATTCTTACCTGTTTCATCAAAACTTTCATGTGGTGGGTGCTGCCTCTGCAATAAGCTTCCAGGATCAGCCCAAACCTCAGGGAAACAGCGGGAACGTGCATTTCTGACCTGGGGAGAAGGGAGGTTACAGCAGTGCTGACTCACTGCGTGACTGACTCATCCTCCCATTCATACCCACACCAGGAGGGTGCAGAATAGTGGCTGCTGATTCTTTCTGTGCAATGGGAAAGGAAAAAAAAAAAAGAAATACATGCCCCCCAACCTCAGAAGGTGATGGAGGAAAACCACTGCCTGGGGTGGTGAGACATTTTCTGTGACTGAATCACTAAGCACTCCTGGGAGAACAGCACTTGGGGAGCAACAACAGCTCTGGGCTTATGGCTCGGAGCTGGCAGGTGGCCACAGATGGCCAGAGGAAATTCCAGCTCACAGGTTTGTGTGTGCACATACACACATAGACAAAAATTCTGAAAACAGAACCTAAGCCAAACTCCACCAACTACAACGACCACAAAAGACAAAAATAAATGAACAAAAAACTGTACTGTCCCCTCCTGGAGAGTTGGACTCGATGATCCTGGTGGGTCCTTTCATACTCAGAAAAGCAGTGAAATCTGTGAAATTAATTCTTATTCAGTTACCCAAGGTAAAAAACCAGCAGTTTTTGGGTTTAGGGAACCACAGCAAGGAAATCCCATCAAAGCTTAGGTGGGAGACACAAACTAAGGGACAGCAAATAAACACCCTGTCAGCTCTACATCCAGCCAGGCCTACTGTCCCACTTCACAGAGCCACGAGGAAACCAGTAAATGGAAACCAGCAAATGCTGCTTTCACTCCATTACTGAGAAAAAGCCTAAAACATTTTCCTCACCTCAGGTGCCAGAAGAGGAAGTGGCCGATCTTGCGGTTGGATAAGGCCCTGTCCAGCAGGAACTTGGTTAATTCACAGTCTAAGTAGGATTCGTACTTGAGCACCTGGACAAGCTGCAGCAGGTACTGGAACACGTCATGGTCCCTGGTGACAGAAGGGAAAGATGAAAGACAATCTCATCTCTGCTGCAGAGACAAGGCTGTCAGGCTTGTTCACAGTCCCCCTCAGCAGCCCTGGACAGGAATAGAAAGGGGCTCTCTCCCCTGGGGATCACACTTACGTCAGCTTCTTCAATGAGTTGATAGCAAAGGAACCAACGTAACGGTCGGGAAAGCTGAAATCCAGCAGCTCCAAGGCATTCAGGACAGGCAGCTCTGGCCAGGTCTGAAGCAGGGAAATCATCTGTAATGGCAATAAAAAAAAATTTAAAAAAAATAATAAAAAAAAAGGAACAAGGTTTTTATGACAATGGATATAAATCTGAAGTTCTGCTGATGGAAGAGCAGCTCTTTGTGGTGGGTCACTATTTATAGATGCCTCACAGCAAGTTTGCAAATACCAGGTCAAACCCTGAGGTGCCTTGTGCTGGTCCCTCACTGTCAGTTAAGAATATCCAGATCCTATTTTTCCCATGAATTAAACAGATATTTTTTTTTTTCCCCTTGCCTCCTGTTTCTTGAAGGAATATGTAAGACCTTGTTGGTTAGTAATAAATCTGGGACAGCCCAACAGAGCCAAACCTCAGATGGGAACAGAACACCTCCCTTTGGGGCGCTGTGAACCATCCCCAGCCGAGCTGGGCTCCCAAGCACCACCCAGGAGTGCAGGCACTGAGAGATGGATCAGACAGGGAGCCCTGGCTGCCAGCCCCAACCTCCTCACCTGGGCAACGTCCTCGTGCTTGTTCCACTTGGTGATGATGAGCAGCTTTGCCAAGGCCTGTGGGTACTGGTCGCGGATGTCGTACCTCATCTTCCACACCAGGTCCTTCTCGTGCTCGTACAGCTCCGTGTGGCTCCTGCGCTCCAGGATCTCCCTCAGCTGCAGCTTCTGCTCGTGGGAACCACAGGAAAGAGCACACACAGGGCTCAGTCTCAACCCAGAGGGCTTGCTCAGCTCAGAGAGACCCTGTGGGACTTGGGGCATGGCCCAGTTTGGTGGAAAAAGCTGGAGGGGTTAAGGTGGAAATGTCTGACTTGATCCATGAAACCAGGTTTGCAGAAGAACTGAAGAACTGATGTCACCAGACTCACCTCCTCAGGATCTTCTGGTGCAGCTCGGGGTGGTTCTCCATTCCTCCCCAACTCCAGCAGCTGGGACACAAACAAAGAGTCTGAGAAAGGCTGCCCAGTGATTTTAGCTCACCATCACTTCAGGGATTTGTGCTGTGTTAGAGGTCAGGCACTTGGCACCTCTGGAGAAGGGAATCACACCTCCCACAGCCCCAGTGCAGGTCAGGCACTCAGCAGGACCCCTCTGCTCAGGGGTGTAACCTACCTGCCCATGCTGCCCCTGCCCTGGGGGTAACAAGAATGAAGGGATGAGTTCTTGCCCCAAAAAGGGCACATCTGCACTCCCAGAGAGCTCCTGAGCTCGGGGTCACTGAGCTCCAGGCTAACATGACCCACCCCAGTGCTGCCCGAGCCCCCCCTGCACTGGCACAGCCTGTTCCACCCCCCTGGGCCAGCCCCTGCACTGTGGGGAGCACACAGGCATTCCCTGGCAGGGCAGATCCCCCTTCTCCCCTGTAACAGGCACATTTCTTCTTCCACTTGTCCGCCCAGTTGCAGTGACAGATGGAAAATCCCCACCCAACACGGCATGTTATCGCTCTGCTGAAAGGCAGGGAGCTGCCTATTTTCACTCATTTCCCCTTTTATTCCTCTTCCTCCCTCCAAAACCTAACACTGCCTTGCAGTTTAAAGGCAGCTCAGTTAAACCCATTTTTTAAACAAGTGCTTGTCTTATAAGAGCAACTTCACCTCAGTAATTCACAACTCGGAAAACTATTCACAGAGTCACATTTTCAGTTAAGAATATCCACTTATCAAGTCTGCTTGTGCCCAGGCCCTGCTGACAGCTGCCCAAGGGGCAGTGACACTGGATGCTGCCACCCCAGCACAGCCAGGGAATTCCTGTGCCTCCCAAAAAACCGTGCCAAGTGTCCCACCTGCTCGAAGGACGGGTAATACACGGGATGAGCTGCCACGCTGGGGAAGCAGATGACCAAGGCTGCTGCACTCTCAGTGTTGGGGTTGCATTGCACCGTGCCCATGGGGTTCAGAAGTTCCCCTTTCTCATCTGAAAAGCAAAGCACACAAACCCCCTGGAGCCAAAGGTGAAGCTCTGGTGCAGAAAGCAGAGCACTGCCCGCCCCCAGCTCTGCCACCCCGCACTGCCTGGCCCTGAGCAGCTCCTTCACCCCCCTGACCTCTCCCAGGTGAGGGGTACATGACACCTTTAGGTCAGCAGCCACCTCTTATGTCACTTGTGCAATGCCAAGCACGAGGCCTTCACCTCTGGATGCCATCACAACACAGAGCAGTGACCAGGCAGCGTCTGCTGCCATGAACTGCACAGCGAGGCAGGACGTGGGGCACCCCTGTCCTTGTGGAGGAGGCTGAAGATGCCAAATGAGGCAGGAGCTCCATCTCCTGACATACCTGGGAAGGAGGACCACATGTGCAGGCAGCACTCCCCGGTTTTCAGCTGGTCCTTGTAGTCAAAGAGCATGACGTTGACCCAGGCGATGGGACAGTCCTGCAGGGCACAGACAGCAGCTCATTTGGGGGCTGTAACAGCTGAAGGCGGTGAAGGAAAGAGGAGAACTAAAAAGAGAGTGAGATATCCCCATGCAAAGGCCTCACAATATCCAGGAACCCAAAGTTAAACAATCTTTTCCAAATCGCTACAGGCAGGGAACTTCCCATTCAAGAGCGTGTGGGCACCCCCTCACTGAAGAGTTGCTGTAGAGAATTACACCAGGGAGCCATCCTATCTGCCTAACTTTTAAGTTCTCTAAAAGCACAAGATGACATCACATTCAGGTGTTTGCCAAAACCTGGGGTCTTTTGTGTAGTGCTGAATGGCACCAACCTGCCCCCAGATAGGGCTAAGACTTCATCACCTGATATTTTTCATAGCTGAAGAACCTCTGAGTTTCCAGTGAGGCCTTGCTACTCTACACTCAACATTTGAAGGAGCTGTGATGTGCTTCCCACAGTGTGAGGGGAGTGTGTTTCAGCCTCAGTGTTGAAACAGGGAACACAGAGTTCACATGACTGCAGAAAACTGGGCAAAGAATGCTAGAAATAGCTGATAATAGAGGAAAAAAGGCTTGGTTCCTTTGAACAAGAATGAACACTATCTATAGAAATCAAACTTTATGCTGCCAATCCCCACCACACCCCCAAAATAAAAGCCAGGAGCCCAAGCCAGGCTCGTTTTGGAGGGGGGAGAGTCCAGCGAGTGATGGGACTGGGACACAGCCAAGACAAAGAACCATCTCCCTGCTCAGCTCCCTCCCCCAGAGCAGCCCAGACACATACTCCACTAGTGACCTAAGCTTTCCTGCAGTCAGGTCCCCCAAATGGAACACTTTATCTCATAGAGCAGCCTCAGCCACAGCAGCACTGGGAGCTCAGAACACACCAAGGCTCGAGCGCAGAAACCAACTGGAAAAGGGGGTTACGTGGCAAAAACCCTGCTGGGACGCACCCACAGAGGGCCTCGTGTGTGAAGGGAACCACAGTGACACCTCTTGTTCCACTGGGGCCTTCTGGAGAGCGCAGCAGGTTTGCCCCAAGGGCCACCACAGACTTGGTGGAGGTAACAGAGTCCCCACTTCCCTCTAATGTGACAAAATGAATCACTTCCCAGCAGCCTCTCACAGACCCTGGAGCTGATTTGATTACACCGAGTATCTCCAGCCAAATCCCATTTGAGACATCAGCTCCTAGATCACGGGGAAAAGCCAAACACAACACCAGCAATAACCTTTTCTAACAGAGTAAATGACAGCAAACCACAGCTCAGAGCCTGCCAAGACACAAGGCAAGATTCCTGGCGGGTAAGGCCCAGCAAAACAAGGATTCAGCATTCTAAAGACAGACATCTCCTCCATGATTTAGAGAAACACTGAAAGCCAACCCTCCGGGTGACATTAACCCTGTGACTCATCCAGTCAGCCTGAAAACATGCCTGTTTTTGTGGTGGTAAATTACTTAGTCCCACCTATCTGCTCTGCTCAGTCTGCAGAGAAAACAACACAAGTGGCATTAACTCCGAATAAAGGAAAGGATTAATAATCCAAAAAAGAAAACAAAATAAAAATCAGGGTGCACTCTGACTGTAACCTGATGTTACCAATCATTTTAAATGATTTCTGGGCACCTCACTCACAGCTGCATCTCATTGTGTGGAAAAATCCTTTTGTGCAGAGCTCAGCTCTAGTAAACGTGATTTTAAACTAAAAGCTCACCAGAATGCATCCACCTCGTTAAGATCATTTTAACAACTCAGCTAACCAGACTGGGTTTGTCTTGCCAATCAGAACAGCAAGATTTCCTTCTGACTGCTTCAAAACTGAATATTATTCCAGTGTGGCCACAAACATCCAGCCTGTGGATGAATCAGACCTTCTGTCCAACAAAAGCCTCCAGCAGGAGCTGGGATGTTGCTATTCTAAAATAACAAGAAAACAACAATAAAAAGGTTGATCCTGGTCCTGGCCTCAAAACGTTTCCAGTCTGAAGTTTCCAGCCCAGAAATTGGTCCCCACCAGCAAGATTCATGAGCTGTCTGCTGCTCCCAGACATGACTGCACAGTAAGCCTGAGAACCCCACTGACGTCAGCCCAGCAAAGCCCAGTGAACCTCCCAGCAGCGAAAGGGAGGGAGCAGAACTGCAGCACCTTCTGTGATCACAGCTGTCAGGCCCTCATTTCTCTGCACTCTAGTAAGGATGGCAGGGCTAACCCCCCCTCTAAGGCATGGTGACAGTGTTTTCATGGCCACAGAAACAATAATTTTCAGAGGAACCAATGCATTTGCTGCCCATAAAGGAAACTCTCACATGCAAAGAGCTCGAGGCAGTGAGCTTAAGTTACAACTCTGGGAAACCTGGAATTCAATTACAGGCTGCACTTGGATCTCATTATTGAACCATTAATGGGCTAGAAGTTTTGGAACAGAGGTAAGTGAGGAATATCCCTACATCTTCCAGTTAAGAAGCTCAAGCCAAGAGCTTCCAAAGTGATTTAACACTTTCCATCCTCAGTCTGCTACACCTGAGCAACACCAACCATGAAGAACCTGCCCTTTTTACCTCACCTCAAGCTTTGCCATAACCAGTGTTTACATTCCTCAGTGTATCCCCTTTCCTAGTGCTAATTTGGTCCGCAGGGGATTTGCAGGAAAGACCTTATTAGAAAGAAAATGCAACACAGATGATGGTTTAACCTCAACCATAAAACAAGGAAGTTGCAGAGCAGTGAAACAGAGGCACCAACACCAGTGATTCCTCTTTAAGTGCAGTCAGATGCTGGGCATGTTTCTTAATGGCCTTTCTAGAGAAGAAATGACACTTAAACAACCCTCCCAACAGGCAGCCACTCCTCAGCTTCCCATTCCTGTTGGAGAAGTTGGCCGTTACTCTGTAAGCTCTTTTATTAATAGAAAGTCTCCTGAAAGCGGAGGGCCCTTGTTCAGAGTGGTGTCCTGTGCCCTCCAGCCCTGGCAAGCCTGGCTCAGCCCCACACTGGCTCTACTCACAGCTTTCTTGGACTTCTTCTTGGTGGAACGGGCCTTCTTGGCCTTCTCGATGACGGCGTAGAGGGCGAAGCAGAGCCGGGCCATGCGGGGGAGGTCGCAGATGTTGATGTCGAAGTCCAGCCTCTGCTTCCACACAGGCTCTGAGCACACATTCACTTCTGAGCTGGACACTGTCTTGCACAGCATCTCATTGCCGTGGAACAGCCCTGCTTGCACCACCAGCTGAGGGAAGGAGGAATAAGAGAACGTGGTGAACACACAGCCTGGTTTGCTGAGGACACACAGGAATGGACCTGGGCACCCACTGCCCTGAACAGGATGTCCTGCTCCTGCCTCTGTCCCAAATCACTGAGACATTCAGTTCTTTAGCCCTTATCTTTACTCACCTTCAGGAAGGGCATTGTTATCTTCTTACTTTATGCAGGCTTGCATATTGTATAATGTGATATATTCCTGCCCTGTTTGCTTCCTTTCCCAAAAGGCAGCCATTCCCCTGCTCCCCCTTCACGGCAAACACCCTCCATATCCCAGGGCTCTGCTGCATCCTGCTTTCTACCTTCACTTTGCCAGCCACCACCCCTCCCATCATTCCCTTCTCAGAGCTGCACTTCCCCTCCTCTGCTCTTTGCAGCTTCCCTGTCCCTCCACGCCACTGCAAAGTGCCATCAGCACAGGGCAGCAGCTCTGCTTGCTTTGGCAGGGCAGTGTTTCTAAGGCTGGGCTTCTACCTGGCCAGTTCCCTTCCCTTTGCTGTTGTGCTGCAGTTCAGAACCTGCCCAAGGGCTGGATAGGGGATCAGGTGAGATCACACGGTCAGCCACTGCTGCCCTCACCACACAGGCAAGACAGAGGTGGCTGGAAAAGCCCGAGTACAAAACCCCAGAGTGAGTCAGTACCCACCTTCATTCTCTCATCTGCATTGACCTTGCTGCCTTGCACCAGCTCAATGTAGAAAGGCTGCTCTAAGGACCAGAGAGAGCCATAGTTTGGCTGGAAAGAGAAAAGGATTCTGATCAGAAATAAATGGAACAAAGACCTCTCAAGTCAGCACCAAAACTCAGCTCCCATCATGTGATTTTCGCTCCCACAGGAAAGGGCACAAAGCCTGGGACAACCAGGGAAGCTGTGGAGGGGGCTGGAAGGCTGCCTGGAAATTCCCACCCCTGAGACCCTTGCGAGGGACCCATCCTGAGAGAGGCAGGGAGAACCAGCTGCTCTTCCCAGCCACGATCAGCATCTCCATCTACAGGCGAGCTGAGGGGACCCCACGGGCCACTGCCCCCTTTACCTTCTTCTTGGGGAGCGGGGGGGGCTTGGGAGCCATCTTTGGGGGGCTGGCAATGCAGTTGGTCTGCTCATCCCTCATGGCAATGATGGCAGAGCAGTGGACCATGGTCAGGTGGGGGGTCAGCCCTCGGTGCAGGCAGCTGCGGATGTACTGCAGAGACACAGGTAGGTGGGTCAGAGCATCACACGAGTCACAGCTGGCTGAAGGAGCCAGGGCAGGACACAGCAACAATCAAATCTCAGTCCTAATTTATCTCCTCTTGCTTTGCAAGCCTGCGACTCACTGGGCTCGTGTTGCCAGAACTGAGAATATGAAGTGCCTTTCACGGCTGGCATTTCATCAGTGCACTCAAATGGCTGCATTAAGGGAGAACACTGAGAAGGGTTCAGCACTCCCAAGAGGAGTTTGCCCTGCCAGGACAACACAGGATTACTTGCTTGACTTTCAGGAAGAGAAGCCCCAACCCAGCATGCAAGCAAGCAAATACTTCCAGAACCACGGTCTATAAATGTGTTTACACAGCACTTGGCACCCAGAGACAGGTTAAGATCACTGGCCCCCAAAAACATAGGGATCTGTTAAGTTGCTAGAAGTACCCCTTGCCCTAAACACCACCCAGCTCCTGTCACTGATGTGCTGCACTCCTGTAAACAGCATTATCTCCTTGCTGACATGTCTCAAATCCACGCCCCCAGCACCACCAGGCCACGTGGGAACAGACTCTTTGATAAAGCAAGACAAGAGGCTCACCTGGAACTGGTACAGGGGGTAGTTCCCATAGAGATATTCCCACTTCCCGTTCACCTGCAGGGTGTAATCCTCGGGCTTCTGCAGCGTCTCGTGGCGGAACACAGTCGCCTGCTTCTTGATGGCATAGCTCATCAGCGTGACCGGGAACTCCTTCGGGGAGATCTGGAAAGTGAAGCTCTCCTGCAATCCCAACAACACAGCACAGGCCGTCAGGCACCAGCAAAGGGCTGAAAGGGCACACACATCCACCAGCAAGGCACAGGGTGGAAGGGTCACCACGCTCAGACACACTGCTCTGGAAGGCCCTTCTCCCCTGGGGTGACTCCTGCTCCATGCCAGGGCACAACATGCAAAAATAACATTAACCAGGAGCAGCAGGTGACAAACAGGGGCCCACAGGCAACACAGCCTGGTGCCTGCAAGCAGAGTGTGCTGAGCATGAGCTGAGCAGACCCGTGAGCTTCCAAAGGAAAGGTGTGTGAATCATTTTGTGCTCCTCTCCTACCCAAACCCAAAAGGTTTCCACCCCATTAAACATGCAGCAACCTCAGCTACCAGATAACCAGTAAACCCAAGGCATGTTCAGGAAGGGGAACAGCTCCCCTGGTTGGAGGCTCAGAGTCTCCCTCCCAACCATCTCCACAGGCAGAGGAATCTGGAGAATGAAGATGAACACATGGAAACACTGTCCACACACACATTATTCTGTCTCCAAACGCCCAAAGGGTCCCCAAGGGGAAGCACAGACCACCAAACACCGGCACAGAGCAGGTTGTGCTTTACCCCTCCAGACTGGAACTTGACGTTGACGAAAATGTTCTTGGTGGGGGTTTGTAGAGAGCCAGTCCCAAAGCCCTTGGCCATGGGCTCCAGCTGCAAGGGGAAGTTGTACTCCATCCAGGCTGCCCAGCTGAGCTGCTGCCTCTTTGCTGCTCTCTCCTCACAGAACTGGCACATTTTGGTGCGGAAATCGTTCACCTCTGGATCCTGAACGGAGTCGAACTCGTGCAAACCTGAGTGGAGAGCAAGGGAGAAAGGCAAAATGAGCATCTGCAGCCAAGGGGGAAATGAGCCTTCTACTGAAGTGTCTGTGAAAGTCTTCCTGAACACGTGCTTAATATGTGGCCAAGAGGAGAAGAGTCAGGCAAGCTAGCAGCAGTCATTTATTTATGATTTACTATTGACTCAACTGTCCCAGCCCTCTGCCAGCAGGAGGGATCCCCCTGCTTGGGCCTGCACACCCACTGTGGGACCCACAGGAGATCAAACCCGCTGATTCCACCTCCTGCACGAGCAGGGCTCCAGCGCTGCCCCAGGGAGTCTGGGGCAGGAGCAGTCCCACCTACAGCCCGAGTGACGATGGGGGAGCCGACCTTTCCCAATGAGCAGGCTGATCTGGGAGTTGATGACCTTCTTGACCCGGTCCCCTTCGCGAGCCACGAGGCGCAGCACGGGCAGGAAGGGCTGGATGTCGCAGAGCCGCCGCTGCTCGTCCTCCAGCTCCTGCTGCTCCGCCGTCTGGTTGATGCAGGTGAACACATAGGCCTCGGGGTCGCTGAGCATGTGGTACAGGGGCTCATACTGGGCGTGCTTCCACACCACCTGGGCAGGACAACGGCACAGTGAGCCCTCCCTGCGCTGCCACAGCTGCAGCTTCCCCTCCAGGGGTCTTTTCCAACGCCCTCGCTCTCCCAGGATACCCCTCAGGAAAAGCAGTGCCCAGCCCAGCCTCCTCCCAGCGCTCCTGGACCTGCAGTCCCAGGCTGCTTCTCACTCACTGGTGACTCCAGCTCGTGCTGAGCTGCTGGGTGGGATTATTTGCAAGTGCCTTTAACTGATTTCATTTTCTCGTGCTTGCCATTTTTATCAGGCAACACAAATCCCTCAGTCTGAGCATTTAAATAACCCCCACCTGATCCCCACAGGTCTGTGGCCCTGTGAAACAGAGAAATTACTCACACTGGAAGCAAAACTGGGTTAAGTAACTTGCCCCCAGTAACATGAAATCTGTGACAAGAGCCAAGAGCTTTTCTCACGTCCTGTCAACACTACCCAGTTCCCAAAGATCCTCCTCTCCCAGGGGACAGTACTCCCACCTGACTGTTCATATCCCATGTTTTACTCTCATCCCAAGGGCCTGCTACAGACAAACCTCTGGAGCAGATGGGCCCCTGGCTGTGACACAGACCTGTCCCCTAGCAGCTGGAACAAGGTTGTTACCTGCTTGATGGTGCCCAAGCTGGCATTGCAGGGCACACAGAGGTTTAAGTATATTCCTGTGGGCAGCAGAAAGTCCACCTGGATGTTCTGGTTTTCCCCCTTGGACCAAAATTCCGTAGGGCAGTAAATGCCTGGGGGCATCCTGCTCACTGCTTAGCTACCACCTGCAAGAAGAGGGAAAATAGCCTGTTGCTGTTGACCACATATTATCTGCTCAGTTCTGTGCTGGGCTCTGTTGAAAGTTAAAGTGAAAAATAACCCAAAGAAAGGAAAGTCAGCACAGCCTTACAGCTCAGAAAAACATGGACTTTAGTCAACTTCCCAATCCGGTGTCTTTAAGCCACATATAACTACTGCATTTGCTTCTATCTCAATGCAACCCTCCCTTAATCCCTTCTAGACTGGGATTAACATCCACATCTGCATTTGAGAATGAAACAAAAGCATTATCTTCGCTTGGGAACAAAGGCACTTGTCCCAATAGCTCATCTAAGGCCAAGCAGCCAAGAGAAACAGTAAGTCCCTACCCCTGGCTGTGTAAGGCAATCCTCAGGCCACATGCTCCAAGCTCCACTTTGTTTTTCCAGAGCTCAGTTCCAGCCTGCAAGAGGGAGAAAGAGAGTTGTTGCTGGCTCCAAGTATGCATGTGCATTTTTATACACACAAACCAATATTACTCTGCTGGATATTCCCCCTCTGCAAGCACAGGAAAAAGAAGTTTAGGGCTGAGGTAACCAAAATAAGTTTGTTAATTCTATCTGCAGCCTTTCCCTTGGCAGGGCTCTACAGTTTATTCTCAGTACACCCAAGGAATGCAAAGAGGAGAACAAGAATCTTAAGGCTCTCAGGTACAAGCTGCTGCTTCCCAACACAGGATGAAACAAAAGGCAGTCACCAGAAGCCAGTGGGACATTTCCCCTCTCAAAGACACATAACCAGAGTCAGAGACACCCTCACACTCCATCCCATTTGCCCACAAGTAAAACACTCCAGCAATAAAACTCCGGTTTCCTGCACAGATGACAAGCAGCAGAACGTGGTGTCCCCACGTGCTGGGGGAGAGTGGGACTGGTGGCATTGGCTCCCAGCAAGAGACAGGGAAGTGGCTCTAACTAATTCTCTCCAAACACCTCAGCAGAGAAACCAGCTCACCTCAATCCCCTCTCACTTACCAGAGTTTTCCCACCAGGTCAGCAGAGGAACATCCCAGTGGTACAACCTGGAAGGTGCTCCATAGCCAAGGCTTCAGCCTCCTGCATGGCCAGTTCTGTGCCCACAAAACCAGCACAAAATTTGCTCATTCACAATTTAAAACACGGCTTTGCAGCTGCCAGTGTGGAAACTCTGGAAGAGGCTGAGCAATGTGCTGCTGGAGATTCGAGTCCCCCAAACTGTGGGGCAGCTCCTCCTGAGCCAGCCCTGGGCCTCACTCAGCACGACAAGGAGCCCAGCATCTTATCTGCCAGGTCCTGGGAGAGAACACCACTTCCCTGTCAGCACTGAGGTCAGGATTCCCAGAAACATGAGCTGTGTTTTATCTGTCCCGCTTCCTCAGTGCTCAGGCTGTGTCACACAGCCACCGGATAGAGAGACCACAAAAACCACCCCCAGTGTGCCTGGAGAGGGAGGGGACACAGAGGGGGAGGAGGCAAGGTTCAAAGTTTGAATAAAGCAAAACAAGCTGGCCTTGTTTTCTGCTCATTAACAATAAAATCAGCAAGTTTCTGGTGTGTCTGCTGCCTCAGCCTAAATCAGCGAAACACCACAACTCGACTGACCAGCAGAGGCAGAAGACACAGCAGGGGCTGAACTGCTTCCTTCTGCTGAGGATTTCTACCTGTCACTGGTTACAAGGTGCCTGTCCAAGCTAAGAACACTACAATGTCAAGGTCAGGTTCAAGCTTTGTCTTTCCCAGCTCACTGATTTAGGGGGATGTAGAAGGGTTTTTCCGTATCCTGGAGTATAACTCTGGAATTTCACCATCTCTAACACATTATTTACCAAGCCTCTGCCCTTCCTACTGCTCCATTTAGAATTCTCTTTTTGCTGAACCTCACATCTGAGCCAGTGTGACAATTAGTACATGAGGCAAGCTCTGCATAGATTGGTATTCCTGCACCACCTCACTTCCACCTTCCCTTTTGCCTTGGGAAACGGAACAGAATCCTCCAGGCTGTAACCTTGTTTGCACTATCTCAACCTCCTGAGTAAAAGTAACTGCAGCTCCCTTTTCTCTGGGTCATTTTGCCATTCATGAATAGCAGCATCACTGCTTTTTGTCAGGGTTGTTTTTGAGATATACTCTGTCTTTCACTGCAGCAGCCTTTAAAAAAACCAAAGCATTCTCCATCGTGACTGACAATTTTTAAAGCCCCAGCATCACCTCAGACTTTCATCCTGGTGGACAGACAGATTATTTTTAGAAATCCCATCCTGTGGTAGGGTTCTGACCTGCAGGCCTGGTAGCCTGAGGTTCAAGTTAATCAACCCACACTTGACAAATTAGTTTCCTGTACAACTTATGTATCTCTCAGAGCCAGGGCAAGCCAGGGTGAGACAGAATTCCGTGTTTTAGAGGGATGTAAACCCACAGAACCAACCTCCCCCAGTACACAGGTTATCAAAGACCCCTGCTTATCAACACTGGGCTGCAGCCACCCACAGTCTTGGGTAAGACACCCCCAGTTCCCCCTCTTCCTGCTGCAATAAACCCCAAAACATCTTCTTGCTAGAAAACTTCCACATTCCCCCACCCACCTCTTCCTACGACAGATCTTCCTCCCCCACCAGCCACATCTCCCACAGCCCTCAGACACTGGGTTTGGGGTGCAGGGCAGGTGCAGTGCTGCCTTTCTCCCCAGAGGGAAGCCCATGGATGGGAACTGGCTGTGACAACGAGAGGCACCACCAGGCACGGGGCCAGGGGAGGGCCCTGCTGTGGGACAGGCTGGTGGTCCCCGTGGGCTGTGCCCACCCAGCCGTGGGGCTCTCACAGCTGCTGCTCTCAGGCTGCTGATAAAGGAGCCCTCAAGCAGCTCTCCAGCTGCAGGCACAGCGTCTCTCTGGACCTCTCAGACCGTGTCAGAGGAAGGGAAGTGCTCCCTGTCACCCAACACAGGCCCCGAAGCACCGGGCACGTGCCCGGAGAGAGATTCCCGTGAGTCCAACCTCCAAGTTGTTCCCCAGACCATTCAAGTGCATCCCCTTTTCACAGGTGTTTCTGTTCCATGGAGCATTTTTGTAAGGGAAAAGTTAAAAACTGTGCAAGACAGACTTTGCCAGGAAACTAGGGATGAAATGCAGGTGGAGCCATTCCACACTGACCCCTGCCTTTGGCTCAGACCAGCTCAGCGAGCAGCAAAGACTCTCAGTAGTGGGCAGTTGCTCCATAATCCCTCATTATTTCTGAGGTGTGGAGTCATTTCCCGGGGGGAGCAATCAGGGAAGAGGCACCCATTGGTACTAATCACTTCCTTGGAGTCCCATGTGCAACAAACCCATCACACAATGCCCAGTCCTCTTCATCACTGGGCAGAAAAAGAGGTGGAGGAAAATAATTATGAGACAAAAATCCTTTTTTTTTTTTCCCCCCTTTGTTTCTGTTCATTATTCACTGTTCTGCAGGAAAGCTACAGGCTGCTTTGCCCTCCTTAAGGTTTCCCCTTGCAGTAAGAAGTGTAAAGGTAATAAAAGTGTACTTAAGAGGGCTGGCTAAGGCAGAGCTGATGTGCACATGGGACTAGTCCATGACTATCCTGCTAGGGCAGAAATAAACCCCCAATTTTACTAAATTTCATGTAGAAAATACAGGCATCAGTAATAGGAGAGAACACACCTGAGGAATATTTGCACATAAAAGTAAATTTATGCAGAACATAACAACAGACACATCTGAAACTACCCAGCCGGTATTTAAGGAGCAAGCAGCCAACATAAAACACTCTAACACCAATTTCCCCTTATGAAGTTTGTCAACCACACAGCTCTGGTGTTTACAACACACAGCCAGCAGTGGCTGGCAAGATCACAGAGGCAGCAGCGCTGCCCAAACCCCTGCGAGGCTGCGCAGGCAGACGCGGAAACTCTGACACCCACAAGCAAATTGCAAAATTACTAAACCCCAGGACTACCAAAACACCTCTTGAGCTTGTAAGAAGCGAGCAGGTGATGTGCTGTGTGGGATACAGCAGGAAGCCGCCTCCTGGGGGGAGGAGGCCACGGGAATTCTGATGTGCACACACGCGTTTGACGCGTCTTTGCCGCACAGTCCGAACCGACCCTGAGCTTCCTGTGAGCTCTGAAAGGGTTTTTTAAGCTTGGTCTTGATTTTCCGGTTGGGGTCACAAGGTGAAACGAGTCCAGTCCACTCTGCATTGTAAATTTAACACACAAAGTGCCTCCCAGGACAGACTGGGAACAATTCTGTAGCAGGTAAGTGTGTCAAACTCTTCCTGCACAGGGGGGACTCCAGCCTTGCAGGGGACTCACCCCCAGGTGCCAGTCACTTAATCACACAGGAAAAAACCATGTGTAGCTGCTTCCCTTTGGCACAACTGGCATTGATAAGAGAGATTCTGCTCTCGTGTCACAGAGGTGTTTCCTTTACAACTTCCACTAACCTTCCTGTAAAATGCAGATGGATTAACTTCTATTAATCTTCCTGTAAAATACAGATGTATTAACTTCTATTAATCTTCCTGTAAATTCCAGCTCTGTGCCCCAACTGTGCCATTAGGCCATCACTGCTCTCTTTCAGTTCCTGTGACAGTGCTGCACCCTCAGCACAGTCCCCAGTTGCACCAGAGCTCTGTCTGTCTCTGGTTCCTCCTTCAACACACACAAAGTGCAAGACTTGGCTTGTGAACTGGGTGGGGGAAAAATTGGGACCCCTTGAAAAGGTGTGGAGAAGCATTCAAACACTGAACAACCCCCAAAATCAAAGGCATTGGCTTCTGTAACTCCAGGGTTTGCTTCCACTAATCCTAGTTTAAAATGTTCTAATCTTCTTTACTTGGCTTACTGTTATATGACTTCTACCTCTGTCAAATATAAAAATCAAATAAAGGGGTTTTTTTTCAGATTATCAGCTTCTGTTTGTGCATCGATCTCTCATATCCTGCCACACAATCCCCTGCACTGATTCATTCATTCTTTCAGCAGCAGTTCATTGTTCATCCAGCTCTACATGGCAGACACATAGTTGTGTTTGATGATGCCTTTTGTTAGATTTCTAAGCCCCTGATTAATCACTTTTACTTACATCAACAAATAGACTGATGTAGATGTACCATGGGCTCTGCCCAGGATACCTGGGCAAGGGATGACAACACACCCCCCTAACTCTTCAGGCCTCTGAGACACTACAGAGCATCCTCTTCCCCACCAGAAGGGCTGATAAAAAACAGCATTTAAGTCCCACAAGTCAGCACCTTCTGTGCATTAAGATGTCACTGGAGAGCCATGGGTTTTCCCACCTTCCATGAAAGTGTTCTGGCCATGTGGAGACTACAAAGATCAAGCTTTAAACAACCACTGGATCCAAAGAATGCCTTGGCTTGTGCCCTTCCCTTTATGAAACAAAGGTTTCTTTACTTTGAGCTGTTATATTACTCAATGCCTGCCTTAGACACACACACACTCTCCCACAAAACAGGCTCATGGGGAAAAGTAATGGGAAGCAGAAGTACACTAATGTGATCTGAACTGGAGCTAACCTTGTTTGTGTGCAGGGCTGATGATGGAAGGGGTTGTCACTGCAGGAGAGATAGGAAAGCAGAATGGACACGTGGTGATAACAACAGGCTGCAGTTCCCAGGGCTCCCAGCTCCAGGAAGAGCCTCAGAGCAATATGCCCTTGTCCACGCTCAGCAGAACCTCAGATCCAACCAGAGGGAGGGAAACGGGAGCTCAGGTAAGGCAGTTTAAGAGAAGAGGAGATGTAAAGCCACACCTCATCCTGGGACTAAAACCAGTATCACCAGAGAGAGGCTGAGGAACATCAGGGAGTGAGAAAAGCATCTGATGTGAGACTCAAGAACCCTGCTCTGGTGGAAACTTCCAACCAACTTTTAGGCAAGTTCACAGCATTGCCTGAGGAACTATCTAGTAGGAAACAGTGTATTTAGTGGTTAAAGCAAGAGCTTGAAAACCAACAACGTGTAAAGTTCCATTCCCAACCCTGACAACTGTTTGATGCACAACTTCAAACAACAAACTCCTCCGTGTTTCAGCTTTCTCACATGCACAAGTACAACCCATAACTCATGAAGGATGTTGTAACCCTTAAATGCTGGCAAAGTGTTTGTGGCATCCTTGCACTCTTGCCATTACCGCTCACGCGGGTAGAGTCTGGGAGTTGGAGGAAGTTGTGAAAAATGAAATCTTCCAGCTGAAGAGGTTGCTGAAATTAGGCTTTTTCCACTGCTCCTATCAGTGGACAATGCTAGAGCCTCCCCGAGTGCAACTTGTTGATGAAAACAAAAAATAACTCATGCATTTCTAATGACCTCTATTATGACATTCAAATTTCTTTCCTTTCAGGTTCCCATCTCAGGCATGTGCAGCACACTGCGTTTGGGTGTTAAGAGACTCTCCAGAGAGCTCTTCAGAGACTTCCTCATGCCCTGCCAAAAACACAATCCAACCCACAGCAGAAACACACACGGCTGTGGAGCAGCTGAACCAGGCAGCACAGCTCCTGCACCAGGGAAGGTCTGGACGACCAGATGTTGCCACTCCCCAAACCCGGGAGTGACAGCTGTGGTGACAAGGTGCCATGTGCCCAAACCTCACCGGCAAAGGCCCGGCAGACACCCCAGCGGGGCAAGAGCTCACCACCTCCCCGTAGGGTGGACCGCTGGCCAAAACAACCATCCATCCATCCATCCATCCATCTATCCATTGCGACACCGAGCAATCTGCCACCGCCACGGCCGCTCCTCGGGTGGGGGGGACACGGCGCCAAGGGCGACCCCTCGGGCAGCTCAAACCCGCGCACCGCCCGCAGCTCGCCGGGTTCTGAAAGCCCCGCTTTCCGTAAAGCAGAAGCGCTTTTTTTTCCCCCCTGAAGAACAGCGCTGTTCGCTAAAGGAGCGCGGGCAGAGCCGGGATTTGCCGCAGCCTGCCCGGCGGAGCCCCCCCAGCACCGGGAGACCCCCTCGGCCGCGAGCAGCGCGGCTCCGCTCCCATCCCCGCTCCCTTCGCCCCCATCCCGGCGCTCACCTGCGCTGGTGCCCGCCGTGCCCGGGGGGTCCCCGGGGGCTCCCGGGCGCTCCCGCGCTCCCGGCCCGGCCCCGCCGCCGGCGCCGCCCCGGCACCGCCTGCAAAGGGGCGGCGGGCACCGGCTGCGAAAGGGCCGCCCACCGGGTCCGCCCCGGCCCCCTCTTCCCCCCTCAGCTCCCCGGAACCCCCGCAGGGTCGTGCGGGGGCCGCGCTGGCCCCGCTCCGCTCCGGGGATGCGCGGGGTGAGCCCGCCCCGGGTACCGCAGCCCCAGAGCCCCGCAGCGCTCAGCGCCCTGCCAGCCGCTCCCCCGCGGGAAGGGCAGCGCGGGGGGCCGGAGGGGGCCGGCGGGAGGCACCGAGCCTGGCAGCCGAGAGCCGAGAGTGTCCGGAGCGTGACATGGCTGCCACCCTCCTGCCGCAGCGCCGCGTCCCCGAACCGCACTGGCTGTCACAGCGGGCGGCTGCGGGGCTGTGCGGCACCGCGGCAACCAGGGCAGGTCCTCGACACACCTGTGCTTGTAAAACTACTCACACGGCAGATGTGAAAACGGTTTGGGATTCACTGCTTCCCTGGAAAAGCCCTCCTCTGACAACCTCAGCCCTGCAACTGTTCTTCCTTCATCCGAAAAAGTGTTGTGCAATAAGGATGGGGAAGACCCCAAATCCCAAAGGAGAATCAGGTAGATTTGAGGATGAGCACAAACACCTCCAAGACAGGCAAGGTACCCCTGGCTCCGAGGTAGGGATACCTCCTGGTGTTCCACTAGCACCTGCTAATCATGGGAGTGGGAACAAGCACTCCTTTATATGCTGGATGCCAAGGATGTAAAGGGTTATCCACCCATTTGTTTTCTCCCTCCAGCCTGTTGTACAGGTCCCTTGGCCGCAGAGGAAACCCACCCAGGCACCAACCCACAGTGGAAGGGCCCATCCCACCAGCGCAGCACCCCAAGGTGCCCCAAGGCTCAGAACTCCTCACACCTCGGGGCTGTGAGCACCCTTCACACAGAACAGCTCTCCCTGCTTGGCACTGGAAATCCCTGGTTCCAAAGCAGCAGCAGATGGGGATCTGAAATGTTTCTTTCTAGTGTTCAAAGACAATCGTTCCTCTCTGTCTCATTAATTTTTCAGCAGCAATTAGATACCCAAAGACCATTTGTTCATTTGAAAAAAATCTTTCTTCACACATCTCCTCTGAAGCGCCCACCGTACTTTGGGTCACAAACGAGAAAAGATTGTGAATGTGGATTTGTGATTGTAATTATTTCAACTGCCACCCACGGAAACAAACAATCTTGGTAGAGGACGTGGTTGGTGCTACTGTGTCACCCTGACTAGTCCTGCAATTTTATGGCTCCCGGAATCACCATTTTTCCTAAAGCTTCTGCTGCTGGAGGCACATGATTAAGGTATAAATTCCTTTTTTTTTTTCCATGTTATCATCCAAGAAAAGCTCATTATTCTTGCATTCTGACTCATTTTTTTCCCTGAACATAACTAGTTGGCAACACAGATATCTTGCCATCAGTACAAAATGTGACTGCTGAAACATTTGTCCTTCAACTCCATTTGAGTCTACTATCGTGTCTCCATGTGACCTTTTAACGCTCAGAAATTGTCTATTTTAAATCATCAGCCCTGACATGTGTTGAAGATATTTTTAACAGACTGTTTACAGGAATTCTGGTTTCTGTTCTGCAATTTTTTTTCCCCTTTTCAGCAGCTTTTCTATTCACCATCTCCAAGTTGCACATGTGGGACTGTACTGAACACTGACAGGGCATTTGCCCACCTGGCCTGTGAGAAGCTGGACATCAGAAACTGTCAGAAAGGGGAAAAAGGACCATAAAGTCAGAAAAATAGCTTGCAACCTGATAGATTTAAGATCCAAGACCTCCAGGAAGAACAGAAGGGAAGGGTAGTTAGTTGTTTTTCCTCTGTGTTACTGAGAACCAAACAGTGCTAACACGTGTGAAGAGAACACTGGTGAGAAGGGCGAGTGGCATCCACGTGACATTATTCCAAATGCACCCAGTGTGAGGGATGTGCAAGGCATGCCAGTTCACAAAGACCACCTCTGCTGCATGCCAGTCTGGTTTCAATTTACCCAGAGCTGTTCCTAAAACTCTGCAAGGTTGGTTTTGTGTGCGCAGCTCTCGGGTTCTCTCGGCACACAGTGCCACGTGCTCCACGGCACTTCACCTGGTGAGTTTGCCAGAAACACCATTCCCTGCTCCTGCTGAGCCAGGGGGATGCCATGTCCTGCCTGGGGAAGATGCAGACCCTAGCCTAGGATTCACCACTGTCACACCAGCAAGAAACCAATATCCCCAGTCTAGATGGGACAGATGGTCAGCTTTTGGAGGAACAACAGCAGGAGAAAGAAGAGGATGAGGACAACAAACGTAACCACAACACCTTGGTGTTTACAGGAACACCCAGCAAGGACACTTCCAGCTGCCAGGGGAGCACCTGGAGAGACAAACACCCTGCCCTTCCTGCTGGGTCCCAGGCCATTCATGTCAGGAACGCAGAGATGTTGGCAAATTTCGTGAATAGTAACACTTTCTGAAGCTGCGCTCACCGCTTCCACACACAGGGCTACAAGTCACCTCCCTCATCCTCCCCTTTCTGGGGCAGGGGGTAAACAAACAAACAAAGCAAGGCACTGAACTGGCTGCATTTCTCTGGGCCACAAGGCAAACAGGAAGCCCCAGCAGCTCTAGGAGAGTGGGGGCTCTTTGCTCCATGTGGTTAACGCGACTCAACAGCGGGAAACCGCGCCTGGCTGCAGCTCCGCCGCGCCGCTCCAACACGGCTGGGAACCTGCTCTCATCTAAAAGGTTTGGGCTTGTTGTTTGTTTGGTTTGGTTGGTTGTTTTGTTTTTTTTTTGGCAAAGAGATCTGAAATAGGATGACAGCCACACGAAGGGTGCAGTGCTGATCCAGGCCGGCTGTCAGCGGGGAGCAGAGAGCTCACCTGTGTGAGAGCAGCCACAGGACACATCCTTCGCTGACAAAAGCCCCTGGTCAAACCAAACTGCTTCAAGATTTGACTATCAGTTTCTTTTTGCATGCTACACAAAAGGTCTCTGTGCTGTAGCACAACACCACACTGCTGCAGGCTCTTGGGATTTCTGTAAACACACACACACATATATATATATATTTGGGGTACACAGCAATGTGCACACTGAAGGGACAGGAGGGATATCAGGATAAACTGCACTAAGTCTTAACGGCACCTCACAGCCTCCAACCTCTGCACACATTCATTTTCATGTTTTGAGCTTTCCAGTTCTTCACTTCAGAGTTGCCACAGCCTTACAAATTCCAAGGAACTTCACAGACAACTTAATACTGCTGTATTAACACTTATTCAAGTAGGACAGACTGTAAAAGATGAGGGGAGGACTTGATGTTCATCACTTTGAAAATCAGTGCTAATGCTCCCAGGAAAACGTTGACTAATCTAAACCAACTGCAGATCCCAAACCTTTGTTGGGGAAATTCAGATATGAAGCCACAATTTTAATGTCAAGCCCCATATGACTGTTCCTAGAGCAGTCTGCAGCGTGGTGGGACATTAGAGATAACACACACAAGCTGCTCAGCTTGCCAGAAGGATTATCAAAGCAAACACTCATCCCAGGGAAACCGAGCTCTGATCTAGCACCGATGCGACAGCACCAACCTAATTTGACATAAATTCCTGTTTTATAGGAACACAGCACTACTAACAATAAATAATAAATAGTAGATGTTGCTGATACATTCAGAACTCACACACTTTCATTTGTACTGCTTAAAACGCTTCAATAGCATGCACTGTAAACTCTTTGTGCCTCTGGCTCCACAAGGCTGGCCTGTCCCCAGCTAAGGACAAGGCAGGGGATGAACACCAGGTGAGGATATTTAGGGGAACAAACCCCAAAGCATCACAAGCACAAACATCCTTCACCAACCCCAAGCAGATTCTGTTTCCCTCTATTCCTCATCTCTGCCCAAGCAACCTTGTCAGGAGGACATTTCTCGGAAGACAAACGTGACAGTTATTTCAAAGCTCAGACTTCGGGCCAGCTCAGGGCACGGTGGTTATAACATGAGTTGTTTTCCTTTCAAGAACAAGGCCACAGTTTGCTTGTTGACGTTGCCACAAGAGAGATTGCAGAGGCTAAAACCACGACAAAGCCTCAGCGTGTTTTTTCCCTTTGATGGACATGCATTCAAATAAAAATGTCATTAAGCAAAGTCTTTCCCTGAGCTGAGCTGTTGGTGAATTATTAGGGGGTGGGATTCAAGGACCTGAGCAGCCTGTTCGACAGTGGCAAGCCAAAATGACAGAGAGAAGGGAGAACAATGACAAAAGATACTCTGCTCTCTTGCTGAAGGCCAGAGTGGCCTAATTTGGTGTCCTTGCCCAGATAAAAATACTGTTTTCTTTGTGTGACTACGCATTCAAATGAAGGATACTGCAGGCTGGAGAACAGTGCATTCCTCCATGACTTCCCCATAAATGTCTGCAGAGGAAAAAAGTACCAAGAACTGATCCAGGTTAGCTGCAGTGAGCAGCTGAGATTCCCATCTTGATCATCAGCAACACCACAGGACTTGTACAGGAGAAAAATCCCTGGAGGCAGTTCTGCTACAGAATTATCAAAATGAACCTCCTTGGTCGTTTCTTCATCAGAATTTCTAAGTTAGAACCTCTGCCCAGGCCCAATTATTGTGTTAAGGAAGAAAGCATGTTCTATCAAGTGCTGATGTTCAAGCAGCACATCATCCCAAAGAGTGGAAGGTGTTAGTTGAATGTGAGATAGGAGGAGAGGCTGCTGACCCAGTTCTGCAAGATACCTGAGGCTACAGCTAAGTCGGGGATGCAGGGTGAGTTACTGACTGCAATAATGTAGGACAGAATGTTTTTTTGGGGAAAAAAACCCCACAACTGCAAACCAACACCAGCAAAAATCCCCAGCAAAATTACACACCCTGCTGCGAAAGCCCAGGGCTTTCAAGGACCAGGACCTGGAGTGAAGGTGTTCATGGTCTGCTCCTCACACCATGCTGATGCTGTGGATTTTCCTGCACCAGGTTTTCCTGAGTGCAGATCACAGACAATATCACTTTGTGTTCCACAGGGTGTTTTT